AGTTCGTCAGGGTCCCTTCAAGGTCGCAAATCTTCGCAAAACGTTTCCCTAACGTTGGACAGTTTTCGTGATTTTTCTTGTCACAAAGAAATTTGGAACGTGTTCAAAATTCCCACGGCCTCCCTTGAATGTGCTTTTCGTCATGAAAAGGGTCTAGCACAATAAGAAAGCATAACCCTACGACCTAATGATGCGGCTGTATTATGAAGCGCAGCATTTGAAGGACAATTCAGCTTTCATTGTTGATGATCTGAATTAAAATTTGAAGCTACTTATTTATCAGTAGGGCGGCCCGGTGGTCCAGTGGTTAGCACGTCGACCTCACAGTGCAACGGTACCAGGTTCAATTCAGGCTCCGGCCTTCCTGTGTGGAGTTTGCATGTTCTCCCCGAGCCTGCGTGGGTTTTCTCCGGGTACTCCGGTTTCCTCCCACATTCCAAAAACATTAATGGCAGGCTGATTGAACACTCAAAATTGTCCCGAGGTGTGAGCGTGGATGGTTCTTAAGTGTCTGTGTGCCCTGCGATTGGCTGGCAACCGGTTCAGGGTGTCCCCCGCCTACTGCCCGAAGACGGCTGGGATACGCTCCAGCGCCCCACCGCGACCCTTGTGAGGATAAAGCGGTTCAGAAAATAGATGGATGGATATTTATCACTACCAAACAGAACAGGCCCGCATTATTTTCCGCGGGAAATGAAACCCAAGTGATTAAAGTTAAAAAAATAAATAAAATCAAAGTTAGGAATAAAAAAAGTAATTATAATAAAATAAAAAACATACACACAAATGAAGTACAAATGTGGTTCAAATCTGATTCTGGGAGCTCAACCGTGTTCGCGCTGCGTTTCAGCCCCAGCCGGTCAGCGTCGAAGCCAAGTGTGTGGTAGGTCGGGTCTGGATTTTTAATAGTCCGCCGTGACATGTTTGTATTCATGTCAGCGTCTGCCCCAAACAGTTGTAAACTAGCTGTTTATGAGAGGGAGTTGCTGTGAAAAAAAATAAAGCTCGGTGTTTCTTGACTTTCACACCAGCTGGCGAAGGAGAATGCCGCCCCAGTGTTGTGGTGCTCTGCGTGAAATCACACACGAGGGATTTTTTTTGATGCGGGTATGTGTAAGGTTTGGCCACAGGATTTGGGAAATGTTGTAAAGGAATGTTCATCTTCATTCGTGAACAATATTTTCAACGTATTATTTGATTCTGCTTGATTGAATTTTTCATTTCTTACATTTGTGTGTTAAGAATATGCGTATTTTGATCCCTACAGCCGCCCCACCATGTTTCACCTGCCAATTTTGTTTCTTAAGCTCCACCCAGATTCCTTATTGTCCAAACAATCAAATGCTTCCCTGCTTTTGTACGTGTCCGTTCACTTGATTTGTTTTGAGTTTAACTTAAGCGCCTGTTTCTAGTTTGGCGATGTCAGATTCGTTTTCTATTGTCTTTTCTTTTTTATTTCAACCGTGAGAAGATTTTGTCCTGGTAGAAAAAAAAAATGAAGCTGTTGGCTTGAAAGAGATTTTTTTTTTTTTGGATTAATGATCACAAAAGTATATCGCTCTTGAAAGTTGTCAAGAAATATTTGTAAAAATTGAATGTTTTAAATGTCATTATAATCATCCAAGGCTCAATTTTTTTTTCTCTTTTCTTTGCGGAGCACTTTTGCGACACACTGGCTTCACTTGAAGAGCAACTTTGAAATTTTTTGGGGGAGCTGGTTAATTTTACGGACCCGAAGCGAGCGTTTTATTAAACAATAATTACATGACAATATAACAAATGAACAATTGATTTTTTTTTTTTTTTTAATAGCACCAAGAATTTGGACCCACTAAATATTGTGTCATGAGGTCAACTACAATTCAAAAACAACTGTTTGACACCCCAAAAAATATTTGCGTTTTAGTTATTGGGTTCATTTTTTGATAACTACGACAACCTTATTCATGAAACAGAATTCTCGTGGAATATGCCTGTTGTCGTGTTACAAACTACAGTGACCTGTTGTTTCGGTCAGATTTTAGTTGATGAAAGTCTTCAACATTCTTGGTTTAAAATGTTCTTATAACCGGATGGTTATTTTTTATTTTTTTTTTATGAGAGTAGAACGATGATGTGTGATGAATAAGACGCACTGGTTCCAGTTTGGCAAGACGTGCCAAGAGAACCATTCATCCCGCCTCCTTCAGCAACCTCAGCATGTGAATATTTCTTTCCAGTCGACTCAGATAGCATCTAGGCAGCAACAGTCGGTCCACTCCCCTCCGCTGCTGCATCACTCATCGCGCGGCGTTGCGATTTTGCCGCAACTGGAGCGTGAAGATGACGTTTTAGATTGTGGTTCTCCAAGGAGCGTTTTGTTGCCATATATATTTCATTTGTCACTTTAACTGTTGTTAGGGGGAGGGGGGATATTTTTCGACCACATTCCTGACAAACACAAATACAAGATGACACAACCCGAACACTTTTTCGACACAAAGGAATTTTGTGCTTTTGTTTCCTTAAGACAAGGCACTCAAGGAATTTCTGTATAATTGCACACCTAAAGTTGTGCCACAATTACTGCTACTGGTCACTTAAAAACGGATTATCTGCACCAACTGCACAACTGTCATAGTACTGTATTGCTCAACTGATCACTTTATCTCTGCTCGATGACTCCGTACATTGTTGCACAGCTGTCATTGGGTGGTACTACTGCACACTTACATGACGGAAAGTCTTTCGATACTTAGATGTCATGTCTTTGTTTATCGTAGTTACTTGTATTTCCAATACTAATGCAGCCTGTACGACTGGAGACAAACTCCTTGTGGGTTCTACACACTTGGCCAATGAAGGTGATTCTCAATCTGATTCTGAAATGCACTTGGAAATTCTGTCCATGTTCCCAAAGGCTATTTTTTTTTTCAACAATATCTTTACTTTGTTGTGGGTGTGAATAAAAAAAAAAAAAAAAAGTAAGCAATTTTCACAATAAAACAATTTGAATAATCCGCAGCCTAAAACTGTGGTGGTCAGGGACGTGGTCACCGATAACTGATAAGACCTGTCTCTCAACTGATTGTAACAAGGACGTTGAGCATGGCGTCATAATGAGCTCCGTTTTGGTGTGTGTGTGGGTGTGCGCGAGCGTGTGCGTGTGTGTCCTTTGACCCCTCTAGCTATAATTAAGGACACATTTTATCCTAGTTTGTCTTCGTGGCGGGGGGGGGGGCTGAGGTGCATGAATGTGTTTGCATGCGAATGTGTGTGTGTGTGTGTGTGTGTGTGTGTGTGTGTGTGTGTAAGTAAGAGAGTGAATGCACTCTAATGTCCCCCATCCAGTTCCTTGTCCACGCTGACCCAATCTGCCCTCCATTTGTCTAAAACTAGTGCTTCTGGGCTGATTGGTCATATCACTTTCACTCACCAGTTCCCTCTCTCTCACACACACACACACACACACACACACACACACACATACACACACACACACACACACACACGCGCGCATATGGTGAGGCCAAACCCTTGTAAAGGTGCATCCTTGGGGACTCGTGAAATGAGCTCTCGTTTGTGTGTGCGAGTGCATGTGTGCGCGCGCGTCTGCTTTTGCTCAGCTGTTTCTTGCCAGCAGCCTGCGATGGCCTCTCCCTTACGCTTTCGACTCAGTTTGAAAGCTGCTTTCTCGACAACGGGAATGACCTAGTGAGAAACTCCGAAACTGTGGACGATGTCATGAGGAGGGGAAAAAGTGACAGCAAAATGGATGGCACTAAAATCCGATCCTCTCCCTACCACCAAGCATACGCCACCTTTAGAACAAACAACATGTTGAAACGTTCTCTCCGTTGCCTTCCAGTGCGACTTTCTAATTGGCGTTTAAGTGAAAAATGTTCAGGTACAATTTCATTTCATGTTGAATAAACATGACTTTTACACATGTGATGTTTTTTTTTCCGCGTGTGTCGTTTGACTCTGTGAATGCTGCCTTTTTCAATGCTTACTTTCGACGTGAGGCCGCAATGATTGATGAATTTGAGAGCCATTAAAACATACTTTGCTCCAGTACACACCTTATTATTAAAAACAATAATAGTAAATGCATAATAATCTCTGCACTTGACAACCACATTGTATGACAATATAGGGCGCCCAAATAATTCATATCCTGGACAAATTTGTGCTCATGAAATGAAAGTGAAAAAAATTGTTTTGTTTTTTTAAACATATTATCCGCAGATTTTTGAGGCTCTCTTGCACATTCAATTTAGATTACATTTCAAAAATTTATGGTCTGAGCCCAAAACTGGGCTGCAGGTGAATTTTTATATTATTTTTTTTAAATGTCATAGCTAAAAATTACAATGCATGGTAAAAGCGCTCATGGGTCCAACTTCAGAAAAAAATAAGAAATCAAATAAAATCTCAACATAGTACATCTTGACCTGAAACTTGTCCATGGAGCTGGCAGACCGAAAGCCTGCCTTCGTAAATGATTACAACCCTGCGTTGTCCACTTTACTAGGCGCGATCAATACTTTTGCAACCAAAGCAACAAGTCTGCTCACAGGACAAAGGGAGTCTAGTTTAGATACACATCAGCCAATCAAGAAACATGGGTGTAAACACCAACTTGGGCTTTTATCTTCTGCCTTTCTACATCCTGTCTCACATCTTGTCTCTTATCAGACTTAACAACTTGTTGCGTAGTTACGCAGCAATTCAAAGTATTGAAGTGACGTTTCTGAAGCATTGCAAAAGACTTCAAACAGCCACTGAGCACAGTTCAGTGGGGGGATAAAAATGGTTTAATGGCGCTTCTGCTTTCAAGAAAGGACAAATACACTTTGAATTTATTTGGAGTCTCAATTTTTCTCTTCGTCAATGTGTGCTTTGCAAAAATATGGAAGCGATGCCGACGGTATATTGAAGCTAGTTGAGCCTCTGGTATTTTTGGTTTGATATTAAATCCAGAACACTAGCATTGGTTAGATCATCCAAATGACACCAACCTGCTCCAAAGGCAAAGAAGAAGATCTTGTCCGTGTGCTCTTCCAGCAGGGCTTTCACCCTTTTGCCCATCCGCTCGTTCCGTTTGTAGATGAGTTCCTGCCTGAAGTAGCTGTCTATTTCCTGGGCGGTCACCTGCTCGCTGGGCGGCAACGTTACATTATTGAAGTTTGGGACCTGCCATTGACAAGGTATTGATTGAGGACATTTTTATTTTTTTTTTGAAGATGCCAAGTGTCACAAAATGAACCGCATTGCACTCAATTTTTGAAATAAACCGTGTGATTATTCAAGATGACGAAACTGTCCAAAAATCTGGCTGAAATGCTGCTTTAGAAGGAGATGGGGTGGGGGGGTGGTCAAAGGAGGAGGTTTGGTGGGATGGAAGGTCGGGCAAAGGGGTTAAGGGTTACTACCAAAGGTCAAGGGCCGTGTCATTGCAACACTCCATGGGGTGAAAGGGTCAAAATGACTTCTTAGCCTATTAGCGAGAGGGAACGTCACTTGACGATCATATCCGAGCAGCGATCCTGAATCCGAAACTAAACTTTTTTCTTGGTTTCTGCAGCCCCCCCCCCCCACTCCACAAAAAGAATGGATTACCTCATCATGAACATAGAAGCAACTTCCTTGGTGAAGGAAATAAGAGTCACCTGTGAGGTGTCACGGTTGAAGATGATGGAGTTGAGGTCTCCGCAGTTGTAGTGCCTGATGAGGTCTTCTGTCGTGTATGGGACCTGAAGGCTACCGGCCCTTAAAGACTCCTGCTGTAATAAAGTCTGGTTGAGGGCAAAGATCACCTAAAATGAAAGGAAGAATAACAATATTTTTAGGTTGTTCGTTTCCACCCGAACAGATTTGTAGAATATGGGAGATTCCACATAGTGGATGATGAGGGAGAAAATTAGCAAGTATGATCTTGATGTTCTTAGACCGACATGAATGAGAGCACTTGCCTTTGCCATTTTCCATTGTATGACTTCAAAACTTCCAATTTTGTGGAGCCATCGCACAGCAGGCTAGAGAACTTAACTTTAAAATTTTCGAAATGCTCGAAGTCGCTATTAGGTACGCTAGTCAATCATGACCTCATCTGGAAAAACTACAACAGAAAAGTCCGAACTTCACTACAGCACAACCTAAACCAGTAAGGTTGCATTATTTGACATTTAGCCAAAAGTTTCCCCCCCCAAAAAAATATTCCTTGAAGTCACACAAAGCTTTGCAGTTCAAACTAATGAGAGAGCGTGGCTGCCTCTAAAGCAGCTCCTATACTTTTTGTTCTTCCACTTTCTTCCTTTCATAACTTTGCTGCTGTAAATCGGGAATTTCTCCATTGTGAGACGAATAAAGCTTTTCTTATTCTTATTCCTATTATTATTCTTAATCTTTGGCCTGATATTGTGCGAGACCTCATCGTAGCTCATCTGACCTCACATCAGGGAGCATCAGATGATGAAATCTGTGCATGCTTTGTTTGCTCTTGAACTTTTTGTGGTACTGTTATGACACTTAATCCAGTAAAAAAAAAATCTAGGCTCAGCAAGTGGTGTTAAAAGATGAGCTACAAAAGAGAAGAATAAACACCTTGCGGGATATGCGGTCCCATTCCATTCAAACAAATCATGAATGTCAGGCATTTGACTGTACTGTAGTTTTATTAGATTCTGATCATGATTATAGGGTCAGTGCGAGAGATTTGTAATGGTAAACCAATCCCCCCCAAACCGGATATTCAGTGAGAACCAGACAGACCGTAACCTCAACATTATGAGCTGCTAGTGAGAGACGGCGGTCAAGCAAATCTGGAGAATTATACCCAGGAATGAAAAGCCATGTTGATGAGGTGATGGCAAGTAAAACAGGTGATTCTGATCAACCCCGAAGATTTCCTTAACAACTTCTTCGGACGACACGGGCAGTTTGTCCTGCGAGCGCCTTCACACTCGATTGCCGCAGAGAGTCAGCTTTTGTGTGAGCGTGAAATCGGCCAGTGCTTGGTGAGAGGACCCTGGCGAGCCCGTCACCCTCTGATCGGCGCTGCGGGGAAACGCACACAAAAACCAGGCACAAACACTGGAGGTCCGCGGGTGTGCGTCCCGGCCCCCCCGTCTTAGATCGACCAAAGCCACCACTCACCTCTGCACGTGGTCTCTGAGCGTATCAGTGCCGCAAACTCTCACAAAGAACAGGAAAGGGACATTGGTGGGAATGGCTCTTCAAGGTGAAGATGTGTGTTGACAGCTACTGTATGGAATTAATACCGTATTGGCCCGAATATAAGATTGCATTGAAATAAGACTGAAAAAGTGTGGGTCGTCTTATATTCGGGGTCTAGACATTATACCCATTCACGACGCGAGATGGCGCCAGATACCATTGAAGCGAATGCTGAACTTGACTCCCCAGGCCAAATTTTAAAAATAAAAATAGCGGTAGCACGAAGAAGAAAAATAAAAAGTAGCGGTAAGAAAGAAAAGAGAAGAAAATAATGGAAGAGATAACAGAAAATGGAGAAACATAGCGACAATCTGGAGAAAAGTGGGTCGAAGATCGGCCAGGTTAACCGGCAGCTGAGGAGAAGCTATGATGTAATTTACGTTTCAAAAACCAGAAGCCATTCATTTACGAATGTGTTCGCACTTTAGTTTACATATTTAAATGTTCAGATATTAAGAGGCAAAATAACATGCTTTTACTCTCAAATATATTGTAATAATCATTTGTTTCAGATGTACTGTATTTATTTTCTGTATAAAAATTAATTTGGTGTTCAAAAAGTCTTTTTTCAAACTTGAGTCTTGAAAAAGAGGGGGTCGTCTTATAATCAGGGCCGTCTTATATTCGGGCCAATACGGTAATAATAATAACCTGGAACCTGATAACATGATCAGCTGTCCACTGTGGTGACAGCTGTCCCTAAAAGGGTTCATACGATGTGTCCACAGTAGGAATGAACGCTGATGCAATTCACTGCGCTGTGCATACCCTTACGCCAAGCAGGCCGACCCAAGCGTCTGTTTTGTTCACGTTACGGCCCCCGAGGTCCTCCGATGACACTTTTCCCTCTCGGCCGCTCCATTGTGGGAGCCTTGGTATAGCGGCGTTGAGGAGGGTAGCATGGAGCAGATGCCTTCTTGTCAAGGGACAAAGAACCCCTCCATCACCCTGTCCTCTCCTTTCCTTTGCGCTCGCTTTGGGCTTTCATCAGCCGCGCATCAAAGTGGAGCTCTGCATATGAAAAGGGCCCCCCGTTTTTATGCCACGCAAATTAGCCTATCGCCGCCCCTCCCCGACTTTCACAATAACACCCTCACATCTGTGCCCCGTCCGTGAAGGAAGGCCCTCATCTGCGGCGTTTCCACTCTCTTTTTCTCAGCTCGCTCCTCTTTTCTCCGCTCGCCGTGCCTTTCAGCCCCTTAAATTACGGCTGTGAAGGGAGAAGGAGGGCGGCAAGAGGGGGTAAATGGGAGGAGTGGGCGGGGGGGGCTCAGTCTTGGCCAGATAAAAAGGATGGCAGCTAAAAACAGGGGGACGTTTAGAGAAGGACTGAGATGCAGGGGGAAGCAAACAAACATGAAAGTGAAGACGGATACAGAATCCGAAAGAAAAGCCGAACGAATGATGTCTTTGTTTCTGCCGGTGATTCTTCTTCTTGTTTTGGTGCACTCTGGGTCAGTGGGTGCACTTTCCCACTCCAGCTCCTTTCATCAGGTCCCCCCACCGTTCCTTCTTCTCATCCGCGGTTGCCCCCCCCCCCCAGCCCGCGCCCCACCGGCATCCACACACAGACACACCCCTTGCTGATATCAAAGCTAACGGAGCCAATGAAAGTCAATAATTGTCCATTGTCATGGAAATGCTCCCTCTTGTTGAGATTGAGTGGGGTGGGGAGTGTGCATGCACCGCAAACATTATCACACTCGGATTCCCACATGTGGAGATTTGGAGTGCTCGGTGGTTTAAAAAATAAAGTAAAATAAAATTGGACTCTTTCCAACTCTGTCTCTAGAGTGTTATGATTTACTTTTTCTTGAGGAGAGATGAGCTCCCAGTCTTCATTCTTCAGTCGGAGTTACAACTGTATTCCTTCATAGCATCTTAGGCTTCCGTTTATCTTTGTATCAAGATCTATAGCCTTTCTCCAGGGAGGTGAAATACAGCCTGCGAGAACCCTAACCGATTTTGGAATATTTTCTACTAGTCATCCTTTTCAAGGTCCTGAGCGATCTAGAAGCTGTCCCGACGGTTTCTAGCGGGAGACAAGATATATCCTGGACTGGTCGTCAGTCAACAGACCACACAAATAGACAACAATGCAATCGCGACACTGAAAGGTCAGAGGGAGTGTTAAGCACACAAGCAGAGATGACAAAGGTTTTCCCCGAAGGAATGCATTCATCAGATGTTCCGAGACATTCCCTGGAAAAGGTTTTTGCCAATACCGAGCACCGAACCGGTGTTCGTGGGTAGTTGGTTTTGGCCTGTTGCATCCATACTTGCCGTCTATGGTAATTTGGAGATGGGGCGCTCGATCAGGCAAGAACATGCAGGAAGACTCCTTTGAGCTTAAGCAAGAATTCAGCATTTTGGCTGTCTTTTGTAGGGTATGCACTCTTATTTCTTGTCCATGACATAAAAGAGCCATTTCCCAAATGACAAATGATTTTCCTTCCGATTCTGATCTCATCAGATGAACTGTAACCCTATCACAGAAGGTTCAGGAAAGTATCTAAGACGAAACCACAAGAGCGAGAAATGACTTCAACTCGGTTACAAAAAAGATACAAGCGCTTCGGAATATCAGATAAGAAGAAGATCTAGATAAAGATCGGCGTTTTGGCTCCAGACATACCTCTGAGTGATATGATCAGTAAATTATTACTTGGGCCGCTCGGCTCTAAAACATGAAGTACTGTATGGCATCCGAAATTAAGCAATGGGCCTGAGGTTTGCACAGCAGTGGCCTTGAGACGTCTTTGTGGTTTCTCGAACCGCGCGCTGCGATCGCGGTGATTTTAAGAAGTGGATTAAGTCATCGTGCGGGTCGCCACTGAAGGCCGTAGCGCCGAATGCACTCGGGCTATGGGACTTTAACCCTTTCGGGGACAGCGGTTACTACAGTGGACGTCTTATCGTCTTATCAGGTTGCAGGGTGCATGAAAGGGTCGTATTTAGCTGGATGGTTCGGTGGACGGTATTCATAAACAATATTTCTCCCCTTTGGATAGTTTGGCCAATGCTGCCCGTATATTCTCGTATTTACACATTCACTGTCATGTAAATGTATTCCAAAGAGCCCCAAGCTATATTTTGGGTTCCTCAAAAGTTGATCAATCATCCTCGTGTCATGCAATTTCCACACTGATGATACTGTGGGTGAAGATGTGGTTTGCCGTGAGCTTCAGCTCCTCATTTATCACGGTTTCTTCGACGGATTGACTGTGGCAAGAGAAGCGAACGGCGATCCCGGTCCAAGTTTCATTCAGCAGCTTTTTAACCGACGCCGTGCACTCACACACACACATCCATCCATCACCGCAGCGCAAGTAAGCTTTCGCTTTTCCGCTGAAACCTCAGCTTTTAAACACTCACCCGTATATAAACACACACACTTGTCTGTTTAACTTTGCGATACTGTTTCCACACTTTATCCAACATCCTTTCTAATCTCGCTGCCTCACCTCCCCCTCCGCTCTGACCAACACGTTCCCGCGATGATTTCATTCCTCCCCTCCTCTGCCCCC